GTTTGTCTTTCTGAGTCTGGATTACCTCACTCAGGATGATTTTTTCTAGATCCATCCATTTGCCTGCAAACCTCATGATGTCATTGTTTTTCTCTGCTGAGTAGTATTCCATTGTGTATATGTACCACATTTTGTTTATCCATTCTTCAGTTGAAAGGCATCTAGGTTGTTTCCATGTTCTGGCTATTACAAACAATGCTGATATGAACATAGCTGAACAAGTGCTCTTATGGTGTGGTTGAGCATTCCTTGGGTATATGCCCAAGAGTGGTATAGCTGGATCTTAGGGGAGATGGATTCCCAATTTTCTAAGAAAGCACCATATTGATTTCCAAAGTGGTTGTACAAGCTTGCATTCCCACCAGCAGTGGAGGAGAGTTCCCCTAGCTCCACATCCTCTCCAGCATAAGGTGTCTTCAGTGTTTTTGATCTTAGCCATTCTGACAGGCATAAGGTGGTATCTCAGAGTTGTTTTGATTTGCATTTCCCTGATGATTAGGGATGTTGAGCAATTCCTTAAATGTCTTTCGGCCATTTTACTAATCTCTGCATTTAGGAGCCCTAAATTATCGACACTACAAATTTGGTTGTAGGATATATTCTGTATGCTTATCTTATGAACATTGTCTCCCAAAGCAGGAGGGAAATTTCTCTGTTTACTGTTATCGCATGACCCAGGCAGCAGGTACACTGAACCTTCCCTGGCTAAAGCCCAGGCATGAAGAAGTACATCATCTTAATGCACAAAGGAACCACTTCCCAATACACCAACCTATGGCATGGAGAGTTAGTGTCAGGTTATATTATTTTCCTCCTGAAGATTTGGAGTTTTAGCACATTTTCTGAAACACAACACATTATTTAACAAGTGTGACACTTGTTAATCTTATAAAGAATGAATTCTACCTCTAGGTAGAGACATGTCCTATATCTTCCCTTAAGGGTTTCTGCAAGGAGAAAGTCCTAGACCGGACTTAGACACCACTCCTGTGAAGGTAGGTTGACCTCAAGATAATTTACTTTCCCTCCACAGTTTCCTGGGTCTTAGGGAAATCCTTGTGAGCCACCAGAGGGTTTGCCTGGGTCTGTTACTTTTCTGAGTTCTTACTGGGAAAGTCAGAATTATTCATTTTCTTCTCTTTGTCTTTTTCTTTAGATGCTGGACAAAACCTAAGTATGCCTTTATGCTCCATAACTAACTCTGAACATCCATGCTCTTTTTCTAATGCTTCCCTCCCTGCCAAATTCTGGCTGCCTGCCACTGTTTGACTGACCTCCATGCCAGTTTATCACATTCATTTCCTCCTATAAATTCAGTTCTGTGGGATTTACAGCTTGTCTGCTCTGAGATTTTTCTTTAAATCACCAATAAATTCTCCTCAAATTCTGTTTGAGTCTGTTTCTCTGTCCTTGAGAGTTCTTTCTAAAATACTTTTATTAGTAAGACTAGGAACTCTATGAAGTGATTCCAATTTCTCCAGTATAAGATGATTTCTTTATCAAGGCTGCCAAGAATTTTCAGTAACACTTCTTTCCTACCTTTTAAATATTAATTATAAGAGAACCAATTCTTATTCCTGAACCCCTAGGTGGCATCAATTTCAATATAAACCTTCTGTTTCTATTCACAACAGGACCGTAGTTGTAGATGTCAGAATAGGTCACAAACTTTTTAATACTTAAAATGTACTGTATTTTTGCTAAGACCATACAATTACCTACTCTAAGTTATTCCATATTGTACAAAGTAGTGCATTTTCAGTCTGGGCAGTGTCCTCTGCAACTCTATTTTACAAACAGGTTTGACTCTGTTTTAAGGGGAAAGTATGACTGAGGTTCATGAGTAGTCCTCAAAACTGCACCATCTCTCAGGCCCCATCCTTTCAGCTCAGACAGATTAATGACTCATTCCTGTGAGTACAAAGAAAGGCACCTTAAATGACAGTTGAGAAGACTTGGAACTGCATATTGAAAGTTTATCCCGGAATCTTGGCCCAAAAACATACTGCACACACCAGATTTTAGGAAAGGATGTAACTCTCAGTCCTTGACCCATGAAGTGATGGACATGTTACACTGAAATGTCGTGGATTTACCACAGTCTAACATGTGGAACCTGGTATGTGCACCAAGGACTGGGGTTCCCCCAGTCAGATCTTTTTCTATGTATTAATTTAGCCTACTCACTGCTTTAATATGTCTGGACCCTGCTCAGTCTTATCACCTTGTATTTTGCAGCATTATTCTGAAACGTGACACCAAAAGTTTCTACAAGCTTCTCCTCCTGACACTAGTCTGGTTCATTATCTATTGAAACAGACTTATTTATATCAATTCAGAAGCATTTTGAACTCTGTTGCAGCCACATTAACCTGTATTCATTCTCTACCACACACACACACACACACACACACACACACACACACACACACACACACACACTATATACATACATATAGATAGATAGATAGAGACAGACAGACAGATAGATAGATAGATAGATAGATAGATAGATAGATAGAGATAGATAGAGATATTTGAATATGTACATATATAGAGAGGAGAAAGATATAGATATAGGGGTGGAATAAAGGAATTTCCATTTGCCTCAGACAAGATACCAAGTTGGCAGATGAGTTCTAGGGATACACATAGCTAAAATTATTTTCAGTTCTCTAAAAGAGTAATTTTATTGAGATAATGGTATACCCTACTCTGTGGTATATAACAGTGGTTTTTCAAGCAATGCATTGTGTGTGGAGTATAGGGGAGGAGGCTTCTCCATGTGCTTCACCTTTCTTTTATAGACACTTCCCTCCAATACTGACTCAATGAGTTATAGATATCTCGATGGCAACCCAGTGTTGACTTAGACTTTTGTTTGACTTGTGAAAGATCTCCATGTTCGAGTTACTCTCCAAGAATTCCACATGATTGTTCTAAACATCCTTTCATGCATAAAGATGTTTTCAGCAAACACAGAAAAAAGTATCTTAAACTTTTGCATTATAAAGCAGATCATTTTATTCATTTTGACCTGAATACACACAAATAGTTCCTTATTCAACCAACATTTCTTATGCTGTTTGTTTTGTTAATGTGAAGTAGTTAATTATGCTTGTAATTATTTCATCACAATGAAATAATTTAAATATACTTTTGGAGAACTTTGATAGCAATCATGTCAGTAAGAACCTAGAAGTCGGTTTAGGCATAAGCATTGGGAATGACAGTTGGTCTTTTTCTTTTATTACAGCTGGAAACTTTGTCTTTAAAATCGCCATTCATGTAGCACATTGCCTGATGAGGGTACAATACAAGCTCTCTCTGTCTCTCTGTCTCTCTGTCTCTCTCTCTGTCTCTCTCTGTCTCTCTCTGTCTCTCTCTGTCTCTCTCTCTCTCTCTCTCTCTCTCTCTCTCTCTCTCTCTCTCTCTCTGTCTCTCTCTCTCTCAGGCAAACTAAAATACCCTCAATTATAGTTCTGTGTATTTGGTATAGTAAGAAGGACATGTAATAAAAGGTCCTGGTCATCAGATACAGGCAATGTACTTCTTTTCTCATTTAGTTTCACTACAGTGTACTAACTGTAAACTAATAAGTGGCATTAGATGAGAGGTGAAAACATCTTAGCTACTAGTGGATTTGGTTACTAATTCATATTCCCTTTAAGAACAGCAAAACTGTGAATTTTCATTACTCACGTTCTACTTTTTTTCTGCCAAAATCCGCTCAAGCTGCCTGCAAAAAGCTAACCAAGAGTTATTGCCACAAAGTCACCTCCAAAGTCCCCCCCACTGTTTTTGTAACTAATAAGCACTGAACTATATTGTTAGGACTTGTTTGAAATGTAATCAAACCTCATGGAGGCTGGATAAAATACTATGACTAAACTATAGACATGAATATTACTACAGTTGACCTTTGGTAACTTGAAAACTTTCCAGGAGCTGAGGTGAAAAACATTCCCTCCTGGTAACATTCAATGGGAATATGTGCAATTAAATTTCTCATCATTCACTCATTTAAAGGCTGTCATAAAACTGGATCTCAGACGTACTAAAAACAGTAAAAAAACAAAACAAAACAAAACATAGTCTTAATGTTCATAGCTAACCACTGTAGCTATGTGAGTCAGGAGATTAGAAAGTAAAGTCCCTTGGGCATCACTCCTGTTCCTCTGCAGATACAATAACACTTCTTTGGCATTTTGCTTGTTTCTAAGGATAAGCTAGTAATATTTTAGCAAGTCCAATATCCTTGAAGTCTATAGAAACAGGGCTGCCCAGAGAGGATCCAATGGTATTCGATCCTTGCTGTTTTTGATTATAAGACTTGTTAGTACTGTGAAAGGCAAGACAGATTTAGTACCTGTAAAATCCCATGCCTTGATAGAGTCAGGTAGTGAAGCGGCACAAAGCATGGTTTTGTTATCACTTGTGTAATGCTCTTACTCTACTATGGTGAGTAACTCAATCCTCAGTAACTCAAGCACTGGATAAATCAGAGTGAATTTCTTATTCTTATGGCTGGTGTCATGGAATTCTTCTGCTGTAATCAACACAGTTCACTAGCTCTATGCTGCTTGGGTCTCTAAATTAAGAAACACGAGCATCACTAAAAGATGGCTGCAGAGTTATCTTAGCTGAAGAATTCTGTCAGGGAATTTGGTATAGGCTTTATATACATTTGCAAGTCCATGAAAATTAGAACAATAGATGTCACTATTGACTGCCAATTCTGCTTGGGATGTGAAAAAAGTAATGTTTTTTTTTTAGCCGTTATAGTGATGATTCTTGGTGTATGACACTCCACATGTCATTGATTAACGTTCAATAGATGTTCTGGGAATAGAAGATGAAATGTGATAGGTTAGGAGAAGAAGGTACATCAGCTGTCAGGTTGGAGTTTAAAAAAGGCCTTGAGTTGAGCTTGTTTGAGGGAAATAGGTCCAAGGTAAGGGAAGAGAACATAAATGGAAAGAAGGAAGAATATCAAATATCTATTGTGGTCCACTGGGCTGGGTTATTGTTTCAAAGTTAACAATAGCCACATCTGTTGAGTCAGGGATGATCTGGAGTGTAATTTGCAATCCTGTCACAGGTACTGTACTCAAGGATGTACTGTTATTATCTTCTACACCAATGACTCTGAAGGAGACTTGTTGAACACTGTTATCAGGGTTGCTATCTGCAACTTCAGATCCTGATTTATTCTCCCCAAACACGAGACTGGCACTTTGGCTCTCATATACTTGTTGAAGACATTTCACTAGGACTGGGAATGCAAAGTCCTTATGGTTTGTAATTTGCCTTTTGATCGTCCACCATTTACTACGCAGCCATTGTGGTGAACGAACACTTTTCCATCCTTTAGCTAAGTCATCCCAGTGAATTTCAGTTTCATCAGCTACATCAAGCTCTGCTAGCATGTGGATGAGAGTGACTTCATCTTTCCTGGTCCACTCAATCCCTCCAGTCTGTTTCCAGTTCAGGTAGTTGAGCCATTTAGCACGACACTGCTTTGCTGAGCGAGTACCTACTCTTTGAGCCACTGTTGCCCAACACACACCATGTGTGACCTTCTCATCCACCTCAGTGTGTGTCAATTCGTGAACCACATCTCCGAGAATCCGTTCTTCTTCTTCGGTCCATTTCCCCGTGTTACAAGTATCCTTCAACAGGCGGCACCGGTCTTTGACAGAAGACGGACTTCTTCCCATGGCGGCACCTATTGTTATCCAGTCATTGCCATGCTGTTGCCAGAGCTCCTTGAGCTTCTGAATTTCTGCAGGGGTGTACTTTCCCACATAGTTTCTGTCATCATACATTCGGACTACTCTCCTATAAACTGAAAACAAAGGCCGATTCAGACCCAATGATATAGTTCTGTAGAAATCTTTTCTTTTACCTTTTGACATCTTAAAAATGATTTCTGCAGCATTCTCTATTCCATGTTCCTTCATATAACATTCAATGTTGTTCATCAAAATATCTGTTTCTTCCTTGGACCACATCCCCTGCTTCCATTTATGTCCTTGTCTGGTTAGCTTATCTTTATCTTCTTTACCTCTTAACCATGCTTGGCTAACGACTGACTCTTGTGCACTAGCCAAGGGGAGTGCTTCATCTGGTTTGTCATCCTGTAAAATCTGGAACTGCATCATAGTTCCCTCAGAAACCTCTTCACCTGCCACCTCTGTGGCTGTAGTTGTGACCAAATCAAAGCTCTGCTCCATTTCTGGTAGTGGGAATGCAGCAGCTGGCATGTAAGGAGTCGTTGAATCATCCTCTGTAGACAAACAAGGCCTCTTATTCTGAGGTTCAGTAGGGTTTTCCATTTCACCAGCTTCATTCTGAAGGCAAAGAATGAGGTTCCTGTCTGTGTCTTCAGTAAGTAAGACAGAGCTCACAATTTCGACTGTTACTGGCTCCGTACCCTCTTCAAATGTACTCATCTTCAAATCTAGTGATAGGCTAGATCACCTACAGCATTTCTCATAGACTCAAGTCACTTTCCCTTAAGCTGGATAACATAAAAGTGATGCTGTCTGTTTGACACAGATGATCACAGGTTTAGTTAGAGCTGGTGAGTATGATGAACCACTGGAATTACTTGCCCATAAAGATGCTTGATATATTGGCCTTATCTCTTCTCCTGGTCTAGTTGTCAAAGTTTGTTAGATGATAAATCTGAAAGCATGGGACAATTTCAAGAGGCTCCAATGTAATTAAGCTTGGAAACTTCAGAGAACTGCTGGTGTATCTCAATATGCACTACAATGCTGAAAGGTAAAAAAAAGTTAAATATTTATAAATTGAATCTTAGAAATATTTTATACTATCATTGCAGTTCTTTCATCAAACAAATGCAAAAAGTGAAACGGACACTGGAATGTCACTGTTTACATGGGATTATAGAGTAAATCAGAAGGCATCTTTCTCAACTGAAGTTCCAAATATAGGACAAATTTAGACATTAAGATTTCTCCACATAATGTTACTTCCATAAAATGTAAAAAGCTTGCTATTGACATCCTGAAAAAAGGTAAGTCTGACTTTCAGAACCCGAGGATCCTCATAAAATAAAAGCTTACAATATTGGGATTTCATGGTTAGAAGTTATTTAAATTGTTTCATGAATGGCCTACTTGGTACCAAATTCATCAGAATACTCAAAAGTTTATTTTCATTTAGCCAGTGGACTTGGAAGAATGCAAGAGCATTTTGTTTTTATTAATGTGCTTTGCACTAATAAAGAACATGCACACACCAAAACACTCAGAAAGTGTGGACAATACTTAAAAGCCTTGTTGTCTGACAAATAACATCACTATGAAAAGTTACATGTATGTTAGTTGTATTTGATGTTGATTTAATAGGAAAAATACTTCCTTATGTAAAAGAAAATGACCTGCATACTGAGTCTTAAACTTCACTATCATTATCCTATTGTTAATCACATTCTTCTGTGTGTGTGTGTGTGTGTGTGTGTGTGTGTGTGTGTGTGTGTAAATGTCTTTTCTAAAACTAGTAAATGAAATTATCATAAAATTTCAAGTTTTCTGATGAAATGTTTACATGGGTTCAAAACTAACTAGGATGAATGCAATAGCTTTTCTTATTTGTTCAGTACACATATATGGACATTTAAAGATTTTACATGGTGTTGTCTTCTGTTTTGTCTATCATGTTGGAAGATGATAATTTTTTACCATTGTCTATGCGTGCCATTTGCATTTTCAGTCTTCATAATATATTTTATATATTGTCTATTTGTCCACTAGCACTTTATATTTCACACTTTTATTTTTATATTTTCAATTTCCATTTATCATTTAAGTGAAAGAAATTCTCAATACTTTGTACTATATGAGTCAGTGTGAGAATTTGTATACTATACTTATTTAAGTTATTGCTCCAATATTTTCAGATCTGTGGCAGAAGAAAATTCTGATCAATTTTCTTGGAGTTTGCAACTTGACATTGACACCCAATCAAATTTGGAACATCCTTATAGTGGAGATGTTAGACCTTTATAACATGTAAATGATGTAATCTACTCAAAGAATAAAATGGATATTTTATGGTAGTATATAATACAAAATCATAATATATTTGTGTAAAGAATAAATATCTGTATTAATTCCATTTATATTACTAAAATAGTATTATTCACAGTGGCAGTAATAACATTGGACTAATTATTAATTATGCATGTGGTGGTATGGTGAGACAATTAATAGAGTATGATTACTCTATTAATGCCTCAAAAAGTTTAATTAGAGTATAATAGTTTATAGATGAACCTGCTACATGCACAGAAGTTGAGAGTGAAGAAAGAAAGAGGCAACCTGCTATGAGTAAGCTGAAAGACAGGCCTGGGATGGCTTTCATTTTTTAAGGGAAGTATACCTAGGAAACTTATAATTCCAAAAGAATCTGACCTCATCTTGAAAAAGAATTAACCTAGGCAAAATTTTGTTCGAAATACTAGGATTGGTTTAGCTTCAGATAATATGTACACAGTTGTTAAATATAAATTCAAATGCGAAAGTAAATATAGTATAATTATTACAAAGATGCTATGAGATTAAATATATGTATGACAAAGTCATAGGATGAAAACTTAGTAGAAAAATATTGTGCTATATGAGAGAAACTAGTGAAAGTCAGAACATGAAAAGAATTATCCATAAAAGAAAAAAATCTGGCACTAAATGTGTACATGAGGTAATTTTATCAAATTACCAGAGGATTGAAAGGGAAAGGCCCTAGTATATTGTGAAATGATTTTGTGAACAGACACTTTACAATTTCATTTTTATTGTCAACTTGAAAAAAATCAAGAGTCACCAGGGAAGAGTGCATCTAAGATATTGCTCAGAAAAGATTCTCCTATTGACAAGTCTTTGAGATAGTATCATGATTTATGATTAATGGGGGATGACCCAGCTTACTGTGGGCAGTGCCAGTGCTATCCACGTGGCCTTATTATATACAGAAAAGGCTAGTTGAGACCACTGTGACCTTCTTAAGGAACACATTTCCCTTCCTGAGCCCCCTTTCACATACTCACATGTAAGAAGCTCCAGTTTATCCTACCAGCCCTATTCATCCCCACAGAACAACCCTGTCTCCAACCCTAGCCATGGAGCCTAGACTTCCACCCAGCTCAACCACATCTACCTAGCCAACTACACTCACTCATCCATGCTTCACATACATGATCCTTTCTTAGGCATACATAAGACTTTTACCCCCAACAAAACCCATCTCCACTACCTGAGGATGGCCCCTCTCCAAGGACGAACACTAAACCTATATCAGCAAATCCACCCAACCGTGAAACTTGCCATAAGACCATATTTCCTGACCTACCATATTGTGCCCCTTACTACACACCTTTAGGTAGGAATGCCAACACATGCTGCTAATCCCATCTACCCCTCCCATACCTCCTATATTTAGTCAGAGAGCTTACAGCCTAGATTTATGCCACTAACTCCACCCATACTCAGTGCACATACTTGGCCACTTCTCTAGGCTGATACTAAACTAGCATCGCCATCTCCACATATCCCTGCATTTAGAGCAATTTCCTTCTCCAGGGAAGAGTATGACACTCACACTAGCAACTCCATGCATTCTCATGATTTTCCTGAAGACTGTGTGATCAGTACTGGACTTCTGAGCAACCCTGCCCAGCTTTCTTGTATAGGTATACCCCCAAACTCTTTCTCTGCAATACGAACAGCACCCATTGCCTGAGAAAATGTTCTAAGCACCCATCCCCAGACTCTATTGACTGAGAATGCTATAATACTGCAGAAGATCTTCATCTGGGCTTAGAAATCTCATTTAGCCTGAGCTGAGCCATAACTACTTCTGAAATCCCATTTAAACATCAAGACAGAATTGCCCAAAGACTGAAATCTAAGACTCATACAGCATGTCAACCACCTGACTGTTGGAGTAACAGGAAACAGACCTTCAAATACTCACTCAACTAAAAAGAGATAAGATTTCCATACCAAGAAATACCACCAATGACCTAACTTCAGATGCCTAGGTTTCAATGCAAATATACAAACATGAATAACCAAAACATTAAGTTTACACCTAAAGCTAATGTTCTCAAGGCAACATCCCCTGATAAAAGTGGCCTAGATGTTTTATGACAATGGTTTCAAAAATAGCAAAAATAAACCATTTATAAAATAAGTCCAAAGGACATGAATAAATGCCGTAATAATGATTAATACAACACAGATAAATGAAATAATATAGACAATTCAATATCTCAAAACAGATTTTTGACAAAGAGATAGAGTGTCTGAAAAAAAGCCAAAATTAAATAAGACTTATATTAAAAAATGCAAGAATTCAAACAAATTATTCAAAGAAAAGCCTCATCTATTAGACTATACCTAGAATAATACAGAATAGCAGGTCTTGAATGCAAAGTAGAGGGATTAGATCGCTCAGTCAAATAAAATATCAAAAATATATAAACAAAAACAACAAACAACAAAAGGTACAAGATCTTTGAGACCCTGTACAAATACCAAACCTACAAAAAATAGATTTAGAAGCAGAAGAGATCCAAGTCAAAGGCACAGAATACATTTTCAATAAAACCATACAAGAAAATGACCCTATTGTAAGGAAAGAAATGTCATCCAATGTCTACGAGACATACAGAACATAAAATAGTCAGGATCAGAAAATAAAATCCACATGTTGTTTAATATTCAAAATGTCAAGAGTACAAAACAAAGAAGTGATAATGAAAATAGCAAGAAAGAATAATCAAGTCCCTTACAAAAGAAGGTCCATCAAAATAACAGCAGATTTTCAAATGGAAGATATGAAAAACAGAAAGAATTGGACTACAGTTCTACAAGTTTTGAAAAAAACAGAGATGCCAGGACAGACTACTAAACCAGCAAAACCATCAATCATAATTAAAGGAGAAAGAAATATCCCAAGATTAAAAACAGATTTAAGAAATGTATAACTGACCTCAGCCCCAGTGACTTGGCAGCAGCATCATCCCTCGGCCAACCATCCACTGCCACATCAGTGACCACCTGAGCCACAAGCCCCACATGCACTGATTGGCCGAAGAGGTAAGTGTCTTAGCTCCCAGATGGACAACCCTGCTCTTTTGGTCCTAGCCCCCTTAGGTCACATCACATGCCCTTCCTCCACATCCTCAATCCCAGCAACCTGGCGGCAGCAGCATCCTCCCACCCCTGCCAACCATCCCCTGCCATATCTGTGACCAGCAGAGTCACAGGCCCGACCTGCACCAATTGGAGGAAGAGATGGGCAGACAGCAGTGTAAGAATACATTCAACAACATAAAGAGCAATATGGCACCACCAGAAACTCATGTTTCTACAACAGCAAGACCTGAACATCCAAACACAGATGAAGCAGATGAAAATGACCT